TGAACTATGGTGCTGGAGAAGACTCTTGAGAGTCCCTTGGACTGCAAGATCAAATCAGTCAATCCTAACAGAAATCAACCCTGACTGTTCCCTGGAAGGCCAGATAATGAAACTGAAGCTCAAATACTTTGGCCACCAAATGAAAAGGGAGCCCTCACTGGAAAAGACCCTGATGCTGGGAAAGATTGAAGGTCAAAGAAGACGGGGACGGCAAAGGATGAGATGGTTAGACAGTGTCATAGAGGCAACGAACATGAAATTGAGCAAACGTCAGCGGATGGTGGAAGACAGGAAGGCCTGGCGGGAGCTGGTCCATGGGGTCGCGAAGAGTCGGACTCGACTGTGTGACTGAACAACAGCAAAAATAACAAACCAAGTGGATTTCATGCAGAACTGTCTGCTATGAAATGGCTTTTGGTGATACCCCATTGTAGAATGGAATCTATGTACATCTTTCCCCCCGGCCAAGTTACATAACCAAGAGAAATGGCTATTCTCTGCACCAAGCAGGGAAGGTTCTGACTGAAACAAACAAGAAGCAAAACAACAGTAGTTTGGAAAACTGCTTGTCTATAGCCCATGTGGACTGAGTAACTGGAAGAGGACTTTCAATACAGATTCAGCTTGGCTCTGGAGTTGTAGTTAGTGCCTTGGATTCTCCAAGCCCGAGTTGGATACAGTGAGAGACCAGGGATGCCAGAGATGGGAGTATGGATAGAAGGAGTGTTGATTGCCTTCCAGCTAGCAAATGTGTCCTTGGCACTCCTTTTGCAATGCAGAAATTTATCACAAAATTAGGTGCGTTAAAAATGGGCTTAAAGTGTAGTCCTAAGCAGTTACCCTGTTCTAAGCCTCCTTGCTTCAATGGACTCTGTTTAGGATTGCACTGTAAATCTATATTGGATAGTATCTGTAGACCTTCTGTATATTTATGTAGCTGGACATCATCTCAGCACCACAGAAATTAATCAGAACTTTACTGTAGAATTCCTTTAGGGTAGGATACTTACATGAAGGCATTCAGCCTGTCTCCCCTACTATTTTTAAACATCTCCTCTTGACAAAACATAGTACAATCTAATTTTTTAAGAACACTTGTATACATTTTTTCAAAAAGCCCTCAGTTGGAAAGAATTTGGTACTCTTACTTGTTTTTACCCACCTTATGTCCTAGGATCAAGCAAGCACCACATCTAAATCAGCAAACTCACAAAGAAATAATGGTAGCCTCATTGAGACAAGGCAAAGTGGAGAAAATCATTCTGCATGTTTGATTAATTTTTGAAAATTAAGTAAAACAGCAGCAGCAAGCTGAGCTGTGTTTTTTTAATTTACAAGCCTGCCTAAGCAACATCACTTTACATGGAGTTAGAGGGCCTAGATACGGAAGGGGCATCACAAAAGGGGTTGCTAACAGCATGTGGTTCAAAAGGCAGCTCATCAGTAGAGGAAAAGTGCTTTCAGAAACAGGGTTTTTTAAAAAGGACATTCCCATTTCTCCCATTTCCTTTCTTCATATACTGCATTGCATTGCATTGCATTGCATTCCTTAGAAGTGATTGACTGTATCTACTAAGGGAGATCCACGTTACACGTGGGGAACTGGGCAACAAAAAGAATTGAACACTAACAACAGGATTCCCAGCGCTTGTTTACTTTTCATCAACTTGACTTAACCTCTTTCAAGAAAAGCTTAAAGGATATTTGCTAACAATCTGCGTGGACACTGAGTATCTAGCCGATACACTTAAAAAAAAACCCTGAAAACAAAAGACCAACCTCTGCTACACATGCCAAAATCTCCCTCCTTCCCCATGCAGTGGTGTTCACAAACCCCTAAACTGGAGTAGATCAGTTCTTCATACGTTCTTTCAATATGACGACATGGCAGAGAACCAAACTGCTGTGTTACAGAAAAAAATGTTACCAACTTGTCTTCATGACAGAATGAGTAGGTATAAAATTGCGACGGTCTCTATGCCAGGTTTTTTTTGTTGTTGTTTTTAAAAAACCCTCCCTGCTTCTAAGATGAAAGCCTAATTTGATATTTTTGTAGTTATATAACAGTAATATTTTGTGACATTTTGTATTGTGACACTATAGATGAAATTGTCATCGGACTGACACCCTTTACTGTTTATTCCTTAATTACAACTGTTAACAACACTGCAGAGAAGCGTGCTAATCTGCCATCACATATTATGAAAACAACGTTATTGTTACAAACACCAACACCCACTCAACAGGATAGTTCTAAGATGGCAGTTTCTGTTAAAAAAATTAGAAAACCTGATTAGTTTAATGGGCACTTCAGCAGCAGGGGGGAAAAAAAAGTTGACAGCAAACTTCTAGCAGTTATTTTAAAATGAGGGGGGGGACATGAAATGGCAGTTCATTTGGAATCTTTGGGTAATACAAGTTGATTAATTGAAATTTAGCTATCGAAGAGTACAAAAGCAAGCGGTACAGCCAGCCAGAGATTTCTGAAAGTATGGTTACACATCACACCACTTTGAACCTTTCTGAAAAACATGTGGTGGTAGGGTCTCTGCTCCCTCTGCTGGCCATCCACTACGCTCCTTGCCTCTTTGGAATGTTCACTCTCACCTCCTGCTCTTTCCCCTCCTCCAGGGCATTTCATGGTCCAGGCTGCTGCTTTCCTACTTCTACCCGCAGGTGTGGTGCCTCCTGCGTTTCTCATCCAATGAGGTAAAGAAAAATGCCCACCTGACAAGAGGCATCCTAGAACAAGCCAATCACAGCAATGGGAAACAAAAGGACAATCACAGCATATAACCCTGCTACCTATCAGAAGATGGGTCACTTTTTTTGCTGGGAACCCCTGCTCCCCCATATACACACTAGAGTGAGGGAAAGCGATTTCTGCAACAGTTCCTCTTCTTGCTGCAGTCCTCCCTACCGCTGCTGCACAGCACAGTGTTTTGGGGTGCTCCCCAATCCTCAAAAGCAGATTTCCAGAGGGTGCAGTGGGAGGGGGAAGTGAAGAAAAAGAGGGGGAGGAAGAGTAGTAGTAGTTTGGATTTTTACCCTGCCCTTCACTACCCGAAGGAGTCTCAGAGTGGCTTACAATATTCTTACCCTCCCCCTCCCCACAACAGTCACTCTGTGAGGTAGGTGGGGCTGAGAGAACTCTTTTGAGAACAGCTCTGAAAGAACTTGTAACTGACCCAAGGTCAACCCAGCAGCTGCATGTGGAACAGCGGGGAATCAAACCTGGTTCTCCCAGATTAGAGTCTGTGCGTCTAACCACTACACCAAACTGGCTCTCCATAAAGCAAGTGTTTAACCTCTAGATATAAAACAAATCCACCAGCATCAAACGAAACACAAGAATCCCTTAAACGAACAAAACCCCTACACCAACCACTTTTGAGAATATCTCACTAATATATATTTACACACAACGCTCATCATTATTCATTAATTGACGAAGAAAAATGAGCATCCAGGCAAATAACTGTGGGATAATGTGAACCTTTGTAACTGTAAATCAAAGGAAGAAATAAAAACATGCAGAGATCTAGGAGATGCAATACAGGCTACCTAAGAAGCCACGTGTAGAAGGCAGTCAGTTGGCCCTGCTGGCAAGACAACAGGTGGACTTTCCCCTTTACAGACTGGTTTATGATTTCTGAGAATCAAAAATGTTCCTATGGTAGGCCCAAAGTTTGCTGGGCTAATCCAGTTACAACTTTTTGGTCACTAACGGGGGAAAAAATCATGCTTGGGACAGAATGGAATGATACAACATTGATTTGCATGTGTGGATGAACAGAGAACAAGGCACATATAGGTAATACAGAGGATGAAAAGATTTGTATTTCACCTCTCCTGATAAAAACTGAGTTCCCTTACAGCAAGTCATAGCTATTACAGTGGTGCAAGAGAGCACATGCCTGACTGCATGTTCACTGGTTTTAAGAGCGGCACCGTAGAAATGAACAGAGCTGAATCTCACTACTAATGTCATACCACTTACAGTATTACTGTATCCCAGGCAGAGGTATAAGTCCCTGCCCTAATTTACTCTTCTTCAAGTGTATGTGTAAACCTATGTCACACTGGTGCCATTGCTTCAACATCAGTGTCGTTTGGCCATGCATATGATCCCTTAGTTCAACAGAATAACAACCTATTAAGCCTCTAATCTAATACAAAAATGAAACCCATTCTTTCTTTTGCATTTCAACTCTTGACACCCTCCACATCTCCCACCTGCTACCACTTGTGATTCCAAGGCGCTTACTTCACAGTGCAAAAATCCATGTCTAAGATTAAGCGTAAATTGTGTACAGATCTTAAACCTTTATTTATACGCATAACCCTGTTATTAGTCACTGGGAAGGAGGGATATGGTCAACTTAAAGGGAATGCACAAATTCAATGCTTTTCTAGTTCAGCTGCGTCATTCAGCTTCCAGCTAAATTCAGCTCCTGCAGTGTGGTATAAATGATACACTCCCTCCTCACCACACCAAGACGATACTTTTCATAATGCAAACAACCAGACTGATAGATCTGATTTCACTTGTAGTGGTGAAAGACACCATTCCTCTGTGAAAGTGAAGGATGAGAAATAGATTGTACTCCTCCTTATTCTGAACATTCAGTTCAACAGGTCGGCTTCCATATTTCAGTGTGTCATTCTGTGTTTGATACTTTCCCATGGAGACCATCTTCCTAGCCTTGCTCCAAGGAACTCAGGGTGGCATACATGGTTCGCCCTTTCTCCATTTTATCCTCACAATGACCAGGTGAAGAAGAACTAAGAGACAGTGTGTGACTGACCCAGGAAACTTTCATACCTAGGTAAGGATCTGAACTTGAATCTCCCCAGTTTTAACAGGATACTCTGACCTTTGCATTACACTGCCTGTCATACATTTGTCTGTTATGGAGAATTCTCCATGCAGATTTAGAACTGACGAGGCTTACACAAAAAACAATTACACTGCAATTTAATGTTCCAGTATTTGGAGGCTTGAATACATTCCTAACAATGAACTAAGTCCGATTTTTGTTTCCGGTTTATCTTGGTATTGGTCTGTTTGTGGCTTTGTTGCTTGTGTGGCTTTGTTGCTTGGTTTTTCTCACACCAACAGGGGCTTGAGTTCTTCCGAGGAAAAACGGCTCCCACTTGGGAATGGACTCTTCTATTTTCGCCCAGTAAAGAGTCTGGAAAAGATACGATACACAATTTAACTTTGCTTTACAATGCAATCTGCTATGTTTATGACAAAACAGTCCAAACATGCACTGTGCTTTAAAGGTTATTTCAGTGGGAAGTAATTTAGAAAAGGCCAAACTACTCTGGTGCTAAATCTCAAATCCCTCAATTATACAACATAATGGAGGCTGTAAGGATTTCAACTCCTAGAGTAAATTTGCAATGATTGGATGTGCCCTCTTGTGGTGAATAATGTATTAGAACAGTAATCCTTGAACTTTATAATGGTTTCATTTAGTTACACAGGAGTTATGCTTCTCCGAACCACAGAATCATTCCCTGGGTTACAAACATTCAGATCCCTGTCTAAGATCATTTTAATTATTTGGGATCTAAAAATAGTTTGGCATTTACAAAAACGCATGAACGAACTGTATTAATTCAAAGGATTTTGAAGTTATCAGGTTCAAATAGCTTCAGAATGAATTTCACATGTAATGAACAATCAACTGCTCTCTACGTCGAATGTGAAAGAAAAAAAATGCATGGTAAAATAACACTGTGGCCAAAACCAGGTCTCTCTGGAAGTTCACATATTTTGGCTGCCACTGGTAATTGGCAAACATTTCCTGTTGGTAACCAAGAGCCTCCATCCCTCTCTCAACGAGGGAGGTGTGTACCTCTGAAGCACTCGGAGTACTTTGAAAAGCACACTTCAAGATCGGGGATCACCCCCCTCCCCTTCCATTTCCTCCCCAGCTCAGGAAGGAAGCTGGAGCTTGTTCATGTACTGCTGTGATTCCCAAGCACTTGGAGTGCCAGTGTGCCACAGATGAGCCTGAGCTCTCCTCCTGAGTCTGGAGCCGGGCCGAGGGGGTGAGGGTTGTCACAATAGGCAGGCACTCACAAGCGATACAGCTTTACTCATATCCTGCCTCTTTCATCATGGAACTCAGGATGACTTCAGTTTGGGGCTGCAGATCATCCTGGCAGTCACGCGGCACTCTGAGTGCCTGAAATGTGCAGAGTGACTACAAGGATGATCCCCTCCCCCCCAATCCCTCTGTTCCAGTCTAGGAAAGAGTACTGGGATTCTTCATTATCACTAGGGCAAGTGTGGACCCTTGAATACTGAGCAATGCCTGTCTATCAAAGGTCCAAATCTATACTTTTCTATGACAACTGTGGCAGTTTTTTTTAAACTACTTGATCTCTTAGACACTAAATGCACAAGGCTGGATTCAAACTTCCAGGAACAGAAGGCCTCTGTGGAAGCGGATCATATATGAGTGACAGAGGGGCCATTTCACCCAGTTCCCAGTGTAACATAGTGGTTAGTGTTCAACTAGGACCTGGAAGACCCATGTTCAAATCACTTCTTTTGCCATGAGACTCTTCAGCTGATCTTCAGCCAGTCACTTTCACTCAGCCTAACCTACCTCACAGGCAGGTTGCTGTGAAGATAACTAGGTGGGCGGAGAACCACGTATATGCCCCTGAACTTTTTGGAACAAGGGAGGGACAGAAATGTACTGAATATATAAGCAAATAAAAATGAGAGCTCCTTAGATGGCATCTATTCAGGAAGGTCCCCCAACCTTCAGCAATAGCTTTATCAGGAAAGAGTGGGGAGATAGGAAAAGTGAGGGAAACCTGCATCCTGCAGTTTGCGGAAGTTTGGATCTAACCCACGGACTAAAAAATGTTGATACAATTTGATTAATTTAAACAATTCCCTTCATGCCTACTCTGAGGGAGTGGAGACCTGTTATCCACTGCAATAACAAAAGAGTGAATTGGTGGTGGATTGGGGGAAGGCACCCTTAGGGAAGTGGTTCTCCTTATCCACCTGCAATTTTCATCATCTGTGTTAGTTTGGTACTGTTCATTCTCCTTAGTGACCTTGAGGGAATGTGGCCCATCCCCAAAGATGGCACAGACAGAAAAAAAACAGCCTCCAAATACTTTTTCTTTCAGTGGCAGGGATGGTGACATTCCTGTACCACCCAGTATCACCATCTCTCATTGTTCTTCACATATATTGTCTTAGTAACGTGTCTAAAAAGCAACTTCAAGCCTCTCCAAAATCTGACGACGATGACAATGTACAACATATCGAAACCTGAAATTATTGACATGAAAGGAGTTTAGCATCCACTTAAAAGCAATGTTAGATGCTCCTTACTGCAACACTTGATTTTAACATTTAGCCTAATGAAAAGCCATAGAAAGAAGCTGCTGCAAAGAACTAGGACCTAGCAGTGATTGCATTTTAAAGAATATTATCATTTAATATTAACATTAAGAATATAAACATTTATGTTAAAACATAGAAAAAGATGGGACCACCATTAACTCTACCTCAAGAGTAACAGTATCAGGGTGTAGAAGTAAGTGCTCTCTTGCTTGCAGTTTTTTCTCTGCTGCTTCTATATCCTTTAACACACACAGACACACACACAGGAAATCTTTTTAAAATGGTGATCCTTGCAGAATACACACACATATATTTTATTATTTTTATATGAAAGCCAAGATATTAGTCTAGCCATAAATGTTGTCAGCAATTTATAAGTGACATCAAGGTACATGTTGCTTTACTGCAAGGACATAAAGAGACAGGCCTCTGCCCCCAAGTTACTTACACTCTTAAATCAGGCAGTGAAGAAACAGCACAGAAGAAGGAGAGAAGTAAATGTAAGAAAGGATGAATGGGAGTAAATGCCGCTACACAGACCTCACTGCAGTTGGGGAGGACACTGAGGGAGGAGGGAATTAAATCAGGGCAAAGGTGTGTGCGTGTCAAGTGCCATCAAGTTGCATCCAACTTATGGTGACCCTATGAATTAATGTCCTCCAAAACATTCTATTGTTAATAGCCTTGCTCATGTCTTGCAAACTGAGAGCTGTGGCTTCCTTTATGGAGTCAATCCAGCTCATGTCGAACATAAGAACACAAGAAGAGCCCTGCTGGATCAGACCAGTGGTCCATCTAGTCCAGCATCCTGTCTCACATAGTGGGCAACCAGTTCCTCAGGATGGCCTTTCCCCATTTCTATATATAAACTAATAAAACTAAAAAAAAAACTAAAAAAACTAAAAAAAACCCTACAAAGAACAAGGCATAGAGGTTGAGGCCTTCCCCAGATATTGCCTCCTGGCTCTCAGATTCAGAGGATTAGTGCCTCTGAATGTGGAGGTCATCATGGCTAGTAGCCATTGGTAGATTTATCCTCCATGAATCTATCTAATCCCCTTTGTTCATTCCTGTGGCCCTCACTACATCCTTTGGCAGTGAATTCCACATTTTAATCACTCTCTGTGAAAAGTAGTATTTCCTTTTGTCCATCCTGAACCTAGAGACCATCAGCTTCATTGGATGCCCTTGAGTTCATGTACTTTGGGAGAGGAAGAAAAATTTCTCATTGTCTCTCCACCCATGCATAATTTTATAAACCTCTATCATGTGCCCCACCTTAGTCATCTCTTTTCTAAACTGAAAAGTCCCAGACTCTTCAGCCTTTCCTCATAAGGAAGGTGCTCCAATCCCCTAATCATCTTGGTTGTCCTCCTCTGTACTTTTTCCAGTTCTGCAATGTCCTTTTGGAGATATGGTGATCACAAATGTACACAGTTTTCCAAATGAGGCCGGACCATATATCTATACAGGAGCATTACAATATTGGTCATTTTATTCTCAATCCCCTTCCTAATAATCCCTAACATAAAATTTGCTTTTTCACCGCTGCAGCACACTGGGTTGACACTTTCATTGAAATATCCACTACAGCCCCAAGATCTTTTCCCCTCTCAGTCTTAGTAAGTTCAGACCCCATTAGCCTCTACCTGACATTGGGATTTTTTGTCCCAATGTGTATCACTTTACACTTATCAATACTGAATTTCATTTGCAACATTGTCACCCACTCACCCAGTTTATGGAGGTCCTCTTGGAGCTCTTCACAATCAGCCTTCGTTTTCACCGTCCTGAATAATTTTCTGTCATCTGCAGACTTGGCCATTACACTCCTCACCATGTTCCGTCTAAGATGAGTTAGTGTGAGCTAGCTCACAGTTTTTTAGCCTCCGGCTCACACATTTTTGTCTTAGCTCAGGAAGGATGGCTCCAGAGCAAACTATTTTATGCAGTAGCCAAATCACTTGCTCACAACTTTAATGCCAGTAAGCTCACAAAGTACATTTTTTGCTCACAAAAGTCCACAGTTTAGAGGGAGCATTGCTCCTCACCCAAGTTCCAGATAATTTATGAATAAATTATTGGCCACAAAACGGATCCTTGTGGGAACTCGGTGCTTACTTCCCTCTATTGTGAGAACTGTCTGTTGATTTCTACTTTTTGCTTCCTGTCATTTAACCAGTTTTTAATCCATAAGAGACCCAGTCCTATTATCCCGTGACTGCTAAATTTACTCAGGAGTTGTTGGTGAGGTACCTTCTCAAAATTTCATCTCTGGTCACCTCAATTTGGCTCAGTTCTTCAAACTCCCTTCCTGAAAATAGGGGCTGTGGCATGGGTACGTGCCCCACACTTTCCACAATGAACACAGCAGCAAAAAAGTCACTAAGCTTCTCTGCTGGCTTCCTTTAGCAATCTTGTTATTCCTGCGTCATCCAAAGGCCCCACTGCTTCTCTGGCTGGTTTCCTGCTCTGGAGATATATTTTAAAAGGTTTATTGTTTATCTAGATGCTTTTAGCAACCTGCTCCTCAAAATCTCTTTTTGTATGCCTAATGATTGACTTACATTTCTTTTGACAGAGCCTGTGGTCTCTCCTGTTCAACTCATTGGGGCAGACCTGCCACTTTTTAAAAGAAGCCTCTTTATTTTTTATAGCTTTCTTGACTTGCATTGTTAACCATGCAGGCCTTCTTTTAGACTTGGCAGTGCCTTGGCAGGAATACATTATATTTGCACTTCAACTAGTGTGGTTTTAAACAGCTTCCAAGTATCCTCTAGGGATTTGATTCCCCTGTGTTTCCCATTCAACTTCATTTTTACTATTCCCCTCATTTTTGTCAAGTTCCCTCTTTTGAAATCAAATGTTACAGTTTGGGACTTTAGGGGTAACTTTCTATTGACCTGCATGCTGAATTTAATGGCATTCTCATCACTATTACCAACTGGTGTAACAAACTCTACATCTCTCACTAGGTCTTCAGACCCCCTGAAGTCCAAGTCCAAGATGACTACCTTCTCTGGCTGGCTCTGTGACACAGTCATTTATGATGTCTAGGAATCTTATTTCCACAGCATGGCTTGAACACATGTTTACCCAGTCAATGTGAGGGTAGTTTAAGTCTCCCACTATAATAACATCTTCAAGGGTTTGATCAGGTGGGCAATAGTACACCCCCACGTTTAAGTAACCCTAATATTCCCACCCATATCACTTCTGCTGGGGAGTTAATGTTTTCTAACTTACTTGATTCTATGCCCTCTTTGATGTACAACACAGCATCAACACCAACCCATCCCTCCCTGTCCTGTCTATTATTATTAGCATTACTATTAAATTAGATTTTTAAACCGCCCTCCCTTGCAAAGCATGGCTCAGGGTGGGGTACATCAGTAAAAAACTATCATAGATTAATTTAACAATTAAAAGCAGTAAAAATACAAAAAAATACAACAAACAGCCTAATAAGATGACATTGACTACCGACTGTGCCACTGCCTGGGGGGGGGGGGGGGGGGGGGGGGAGAGGAGGACCAGACAGATGGAAACTATCACTGTCCTCAACTAAACACCTGGCTGAACATCTCTGCCTTACAGGCTCTGTGGAATTGCATTAGTTCCCACAGGGCCCAGTTCGACAGGGAGTTCCACCAGCTTGGGGCCAGGGCAGGAAACGCCCAGGCCCTAGTCAAAGACAGCCGAATGTTCCTCAGGCTAGGGACTGGACCACCAGTAAGTTCTTATCTGCCAAGCATAATGCTCTTCAGGGGCTATGGAGCTTACACTCAGGAATGACTATATCCCATAGATTGTGGGTTTTCTTCTTTTCCTAGCATGAAAAGGTAGGTTTATAAAAAGAAAAGCTAAGAGGAAAAAAGCCAAAACATCTAACCCTAAAAGCTAAATATTTACTGGGTTTGATGGCTCAACAAAGACTTGCTGATGCAGTGAATAGATGCACAGGAATGGCTGTAATGACAGTACAGCATCACAGCTATTTTGTTATGGCAGCACTGCAGTTAAACTATTGTACATGGATGGGCTAGCATCTTCCTCCCCCCTTTCATTTCTGTATTTATAATCCACAAGGGCTTGTGGAATGTAACACCTCTAAAAAATCCAAAAATCAACTCTTGCTTATAAACTCTTGTCCAAACAAAAAAAGTCTTAATGTTTACAACTGAAGTATTACATTGTTAGCTGCACAGCATATTCTCAACTTGACCCCTGCTTCTTCTAGTCCAGTTGCCTGCTCTGACCTACAAATTCTTTTCCAACAGTTTCCTTGTCTCTGATCCTCACTGCCCAGCCTCAGGTAGGTAAAAGTTGGGACCCTCAAGTGTCAAGCTCCAGAAGCTACCCAAAGACACAAATATGCACTCTCTCTGTATTTGCTGGATGACTGGAAGGGGACTCTGCTTTGTGTATATTCAAGGAGATCTTTCCTCAGCATTATCCCAGTTATCTTTGATGTTTCTGGGTCAAATGCATGGTTCACTTTATTTCCTTTTAACATTGGGTGTTCACTGATCACTAGAGTCACTGATCTAGTTCCTCTTTCCAGTTCAGCTTGTATTCTCTTCTGATCTCTGATTCAGTGGTAGCCCCTCTTCACATACTATGTTTTCAGATGTATATCTAAAATGTTTTTACATCTCCAAGTGTAAAACCCACACATTTACAAACATACATATCATTAAGTTACACCCTTCTGGGGTCTGGGGCTGTCTGTGGTTCCCCATCGAGAGCATAACTTAATTTAGCTGCTGTGCAATGTGTGATATGGCCCTTATTCCTGGGAGCATCAAGGCAAATGATGCCCAAATCCAAGATTATTACACTGATAAATGGTGTATCGTTACTCCACAGAAGTGACTGGCTCTCTCAGGTATGGTTATCCTTATTCACTTTGTAAGACAAAATCTTCCAGGAAATAACTCTGAGGAATAAGGTCAATATCATGGAGATTTTAAATGAATCAGCTGTACCCTGACAAAACACCTCCAAGGTGTCAGAGGGTTGCTTTTATTGCAGAGGAATTCTCGTTGAGAGCCCCAACTGCATGATTTCAACTTGATGCACTAGGGGTAATTTACAGTTAAGATGATTCACGATTCAGAGTGAAAGCATTTGCCATTCACACGTGATGAAGCCAATACCCCTCCTGAAAGAAAGCTACAAAGTAACAAAGCTACAAAGAAAGAAAGCAATTTTGTTGAAGCTCTTCACTGCTCAAGAC